ACTGCAATTTTGTGGATAGGGCGGCGAATGATTCCCTTCGAGGTGCGTATGTCGACCACTCTAACTCGAGCATCTTTTCCAGGTATGGCCTCTGTAACACGTCCAATTTGCCATCGCTGTGGCGGCACATTGTCCTCATGGATGAGAACCATAGCGTCCTTTGCAATGTTTGCATGGTCAGTGGTCCACTTTGTTCGCGCTTGAAGTTCGCTTATGTATTCGTGGGACCATTGTTTCCAAAAGACTTGCTTGATGGCGGTGATTTGAGTCCATTTGTCGACGAGGTTGATGTTGTTTGCTACTGCTCGCTCCGGTAGAGATTTTAACGCACTGCCGGTTATGAAATGCCCTGGAGTCAACGCCTCGTAATCGCTGGGGTCAGATGAGAGTGGAGAGATAGGCCGCGAATTAAGAACAGCTTCTTTTTCCACTAGTACTGTCGTCAGCTCCTCATACGTAAGTCTGGCGTTCATGATGCTGCGGTTTAGATGACCCTTGGCTGATTTAACTGCGACTTCCCAAATGCCGCCGAAATGAGGTGCTCTGGAGGGAATAAAATGAAAATTCACAAATTCATTAGTACAATAATTGGTGATGACATTTTGGTTCTCTTTCTTGAAAAGGAACGCTTTCAATTCCGCAAGTTTGCTGCACGCGCCGACAAAGTTAGTTGCATTGTCGCAGAAGATGTCTGTTGGAAGGCCTCTCCTTCCAATCATTCGCTTTAGCGAAGCTAAAAATGCATCCGTGGTTAAGTCAGAGACGACTTCGATGTGTACTGCCTTTGTAGCAAAGCACACGAAGATGGCGATGTAGGCTTTATAGGGAGCCTTGCCCCTAATGCGAAGGTAAACGCTAATCGGTCCGCAAAAATCTATGCCGCAGCGGGCGAACGGGCGCGATGGTGTCAAGCGTTCAACAGGCAGATTGCCCATCATGTGTTGGAGTAGTTTTGGCTTGTATCGAATGCAATGTATACATGATCTGACGATGCGTCTAGCAATATCGCGTGCATTAATTACCCAAAACTGAAGACGAATTAAACCCACCAGCGCCTTCGGGCCGGCGTGATAGTTTTTGATGTGTAGATGTCGAACATATCGCGTGACGAATTCACATTTGCTAGGTAATAAAATAGGGTGCTTTCTGCTTTCTGGAAGATCTGCCAATCCAAGTCGTCCGCCAACTTTCAACAGTTCAAAGTCATGAGTAGACTCCAAGAAAGGGTTTAGATTACGTAGCATGCCATTTGTTGTTGACTCTTTCTGCAAAAGACGAATATCTCCAGCAAAATATTGTTGTTGCCCGTCCATACAATGCATAACAAAGCGCGGTATAGTTCATCAGCAGTGAGAGGCCCTTTTACGATTTCTGTATTAGCTTTCTTGAGCCTTGCGCAAAAACGGAGCATCCTTGCAACAATCCGGACTTCACGAGTGTGAGAACTGCACCTGTCAAGGATTTCGAGAAGGTAGTTATTAGTTAAAGTAACCTTAAATACTGATTTTCGCTTTTCCGAATTTACTACGTCAATATCCACCTCGTCATTTGATTGGTTAGGCCAGTTGTTTATATTTTCGTACAAAAACGCTGGACCAGTTAGCCAAAACGAGCCACCAAGTTCAAGCGCTGTGCTTCCTCTGGACACAATATCGGCTGGATTGCATTTCGTCGGTACATGTCTCCAATGAGCGTCCCTAGTCGAATCCTGTATTTCCGACACTCTGTTGCCAGCGAAAGCTGACAGCGTAACCGAATGCAGTTGGAGCCAGTGAAGGACGATTTGCGAATCTGTCCAAAGAAAGGTATCGAAATTATAATTAGAAAACATGGGTTTAATTTTTGTAAAGAGTCGGGCAAGTAGTAGTGCACCGCAAAGCTCCAGCTTTGGTAGCGACTGTCGTTTAGTTGGGGCCACACGCGATTTTGCCGTGAGAAGGCGAACGCGAACATTACCAGTATTGTCTACGATGCGTATATATATTCCGTAGCCATAAGCACGAATCGATGAATCACAAAATCCATGTATTTGCAACGACTGCATGTTAGCAGATAAACAGTACCTTGGAACTTTAACTGCGGCGAGATCCGAAAGGTTGTTGACAAAGGTTTGCCAAGCCGACTGGATGGTTTTGGGGAACCGATTCGTCCCATTCGAGTTTCAGCAACCACAGCTCCTGAAGCAAAATTTTAGCCGTGACGGTCACTGGCGCTAGGAGGCCAAGTGGGTCGAAGAGCGATGATGCGATGGATAGTATTGTCCTTTTTGTAACACGGCCGTTTAGTGGCTGCTTTGGTAGGAAATAAAATAGAAAATTGTCATGAATCTGATCCCATTTAAGACCAAGAGCACTGGTGACAGAGTTGTCGAGATTCAAATCCTTGTCAGTGTGTTCGCCTCTGAAACGCTGGTGGTTAGAGTGCCATTTTGCCAGCTCTAGTCCACCTAATTTTAGTAATTCTGTTATCTCATTTTTAATCCGTGATAGCTCTGCAAGCGAGTCAGCACCACACAGCAAATCGTCGACGTAGAACGATGACTTGACGACAGTTGACCCAACGACGAATTGCGACACATATTGATCGGCTAGGTAATGTAGACTGCGTACTGCGAGGTATGGTGCGGCTGCCATTCCGTACGTGACTGTGTTGAGCTGAAATGTTTTAATATCTTGATGAGGCGAACTCCTCCACAAAATATACTGGAATTTGCGATGTTCCTCACTGACTAGCACCTGCCTATACATTTTCACGATGTCTGCTGTAAGAGCGAAGCGATGTAAGCGAAAACGAAGCAACAGAGTTACAAGCTTGCTTTGGATAGTAGGTCCTACTATTTGGATGTCGTTTATCGATTTCTGCGTAGTTGTTCGACAAGATGCGTCGAAGACAACTCTTAGCTTCGTGGTTGTGCTATTCGGCTTCAAAACGCAGTGGTGGGGAATAAAGTAGTGAGGTTCGTTCAATTTCGGGTTGGGCACTGCTTGCATATGGCCTAGATTCTCATACTCATCCATGAATGCGACGTACTGTGTCCTGAGGATAGGGGACCGTTGTAACCGACGTTCTAGCGCATTAAATCTTCGCAAGGCTGTAGTGTATGATTCACCTAAGCAGGCCGGATCGTCCTTGAATGGAATTTTAACTACAATCCGGCCATTAGCGTTACGAGTAGCGGTGTCATTATATAGTTTTTCGCAGCTATATTGCTCACGAGTCCACACGTCCGACTTTGTTGCAACTTCTTCAATCTGGAATAATTTTTCCAACCTTGAATCTATAGAGTCCTTACAGGCAAGCAAGCATTTGGTGTTTGGAGCATTACAGCTCGCACGATAGCGTCCAGAAACGACCCAGCCCAGCAGGGTTTTCTGTAAAATAGGTAAATTATTTCCGAGTTTTATTTGACCTACAGAGAGTAGACTGAAAAAACTTTCTGTTCCCAAAAGCAAGTCAATTTTCCTTGATTTATTAAATTGGTCGTCAGCCAACACAATGTTGGATGGAATGTCCCAAGAGGATGTGTCTATTTCCGGTTCAGGCTAATAAGCAATATGCGACGTGATGCAAAATGTGAGCGGTAGCTCGAACCCAGTTGCTTGCGACTTTATGTTGGTGGAAGTCTTATATTTAATATTAGTGGAAGACTTACCAATACTTTGTATCTCAATATTGTGTTTGCAGCGTGGAAGCATCAACTTCTGCGAAAGCTCGTCGGTAATGAAATTCACCTGTGAGCAGGAATCCAACAAAGCTCGGCCAAGACGATAATTTCCGGAAGCGTCGCGAACCAAAACCATAGCAGTGGCGAGAATAATATGGTCCGACAATGAGTTGTTCATGTGTGTGTGAACGGCGGATGTCGAAGTAGAGTTCGACGAATCTGGCGTGGTCCCACGATGCAACAAACTATGGTGTTGACGAGAGCAAACTCTGCACTTATGTGTTGATGCGCAGTTCGATAATTGATGTCCCTTTGACAAGCAGTTGATGCAGAGGCCCATCTTCTTCGCATGGTCAAAGCGTTGCGACACACTAAGAGCCTTGAAACGTTCGCAATTTTGTAATTTGTGGCTGTTGCTGGAACATACCGAACAAGACGAATTCGAGCAAGAAAAGGAATAACCCTTGTGTGAATTTTTTGCCTTTGGTGTTTTGGTGGGGGTTTGGTGTATGGGTCCAACGGCGTGGGCACTGTCAATTGAGTCGAGGTATTGGCAATGCCTCTCTAAAACCTTGGTGCAATCTTCCCAGCTCGGTAGCGTTTTAAAGTCCAAAGACTCCTTCCACTTACGGTTGGTCTCCTCATCTGCCTTCTGCAAAATTAAGTAAATTAGCATGGCTTGTGAAATTTGGCTGTCGGTTCCCAATGACAATAACGAGCCGTAAATTGCAGACGCCTTGTCAATCAGGCTTCTCAACTGACCACCATTAGGCTTAGGAATAGACGCTAGCTCAAATAACGAAGAAATATTTTCTAAAAATATAAGAGTTGGGTTATCATACCGAGCCTTAAGTCTCTCCAAAGCCTTGGAATAATTTTCGTTGGAGACTTGAAACGCGTCGATGGTTTCTAATGCCGGACCATGGAGACAGTTGCGCAAATGGTTAAATTTCTCTATATTAGACAGGCTAAACTCTCGGTCAATAATTTGTTTGAAGGACGTAATAAAATTTTGATATTCAGAGTACTTGCCGCTGAATGATGGGAGTTTAAGCTTGGGTAGCTTCGAGCTTGCCTGCATGACACAAGTTGTGTCTGACAGTGTGGCGTTGTGATCCTCGGAAAGCTGCGACTGAATAGTCAGTTTCGTTGTAATATACAGCTCTTCCAAGTCTGCACGACCGCCATCCTCAGAGTCCAGCCTCTCGATGTCCGTTTGTATGGACAATACATTCTTGAAATATGATTCAAGAATACCGAGTCGGCATTTGTACTCGGCTACTGAAAGTGCCTTACCACCAGGTCGTAGACTGGCCTCAACTATGTTTTTAATGCGAGAAATATTCTTTTTTATATTAGCCCGTTGTTGCTTGAGCTCTTCTAAAGACATTGTAGAAAAATTGGTTTTAATGTTGCGAAAGTTAAATGAATGGTGAATGC